CTGTGGGAGACACAACCGCTGCATTGAACTCTGGATGCAAATGAGTCGCTTGCAATGCGTCAGCCATGGTTCATGGAAATTGGGAATGCCATTCGTTTTCTATTGCTCTTAGTTAATGATACGATACCCGAGAAAGGGTGAATACTTTGACTGTCTGTTAAATAATGATTTACTTTACTGTTATTAATATTCCCAGTAAGGTAACATGGGGATCTTTACATTGCATTTTATTTCATTATAATTCATAACATATGATGCTTTCTATTATATGATGATTAGTATTATTAACCCATGATTAGTAGTATCATTATGATGATTAGTATTAGTATTGTTAGTAAGTAATATTAATTAGTATTATTAGTAAGTAATGTTAATTAGTATTATTAGTAAGTAATATTAATTAGTATTATCAATTATTATTAATTAGTATTATTAACTTGTATGATGATTAGTATTATTAACCCTAAAAGGTTAATAATGCTTATTTGTTTTATCGACATTTATTTATATCTGTCTATGAATACATCCATGTCTGTCTATACCTATATCCATATCTGTCTATAAAAGCATGTGTTTATATGTATAGATATCTCTACACCTATCTATACCTTTATTTATCTATCTACCTATCTATCTTCAGTCTCTCTGTATATGTATATATGTATACAGAGAGACACACAGATTGATGAATATATTTGCAGAGAAAAAGCTAGATGTGTGTGCTTGTGTAAATATAAAATATATTTATGTGTGTGTATACATATTCAGATACATTTACACATATATTGCAATATGTATGTAAATATAAATATGCATATGTATACATATATATGTATACGTATATATCTATATGTATATATGCATGTTTAAATATCTATAAATATACAGTGCCGCATTATCCCTGGGAGCTGGGGCCCACCAAATGTAGGGGCCCATGCAACTTTTTTTTAGGTTTATTTCAATGCCTAAATATATCGGATAAACTAATTGGGCTTTCACTATCATCCAACCCTGTTGTTAAATATATATATTTGTTTTGTGATAAGGCAACTAGCTGATGCATCTGATCACTACGTTACTCACCAGATGGCAGTCACTGAGTGTGAGTGTTTGGAGAATGCAAAGCAGAAGCCTTGAACGGTAAGCATTTTTCGAATTATATTCTAAATTTGCTAGTCAAAACAAGGGCGGATCCAAGGGGAGTGTAGGGGTGTACACCCAGGCTTTCCTCTAATAAGGCGCCCTTTTTGAAAATAATAGTGGCTAATAGTAGCATTAATAGCAGAGCAGGTCTGCGTATAAACTCTTATTCACAGAAAAAATCTACACTGTGAATAGAGGTTAATCCTTGTATTATTCGTAGAGGAGCTCTGCATATAAGACTGAAACTCAAGCTTACTCTGTATCCAGGATTTCTTTGGGGGGGAATACTTCCAGAAGAAACCAAAACACCTACTAAAACACAAATGTTCCTCTCAAGGGGGGTATGGTCCCCTCCCTTGGTCGGGCTTGTGCCATGGCTTTTTCAAAAGGGAACCCAGCTGATGAGCTTCGCCCGCCACCTACCCTTTGTGCTCCATTTCTCAGCTGCTTGCACCCCCATGCCCCTCAAAAATCTTTATTGCTCCCCAGCAGTGTGCCAGGTCCGCCCCCCCCCCCCCCGCCTGCACCTGCCCTTTTTCAAAAGGGTACCCTGAGCGTCGCCCGCCACCTACTCTCAAACCTAATGCCTAACCTTCAACTGTTTTTTTTTGTAACTGTGCCTGTTTTACCTTGTTCATTCGTTTTATTGAAATGTACAATTGATCCTAGCTTAAGGATTTTGTCACTCCTTTCTTTCTTATGTTTACATTTTGAATTTTTGTAAACGAAACATTAAAAGAGCAAAGTAGACAAAACATATATCCGGTATATATGAGCCTAATATCTTGCATTACGTTTGGGGTCCTTGCCCTTGGGGCCCGTAATTTCTCTCGACGGCCCTGCGTGACATCATAAAACAATGGATAAAACAATGATCAACTCCCGTAGAAAAAAACCTGTTGAATGCAAAAATCTTGAATTATTTGCAAGCTCCTCGCACCAATACCTATCTTAATCTAACCTACGTGTAAGCTTGGTAGATTAAATATTCTTGTTAGGGCACATATTGGATGAGCACGGCAGCGCGACAAGCTTTACGAAAGTAAAAGAAAATAAATAGCTTTAAAACAATAAGTATTAAAACATTATTATTTTATTTTATTAATGTGGCGGAACACCGTCACCCTTATCTTATTAATATATTTGCATTGCATTAAATTACTTCTTAGCTAACGGTTAATCTATTATATTAATTAAGTTTTGTTTATATCTATCGAAAAATAGCTCTGCCTCTGTCCCTCTGTCTCTTTCTCTCTCTGAGGGATGCGGCAGAGAGGCTGGTGAAAACATACCCTCAATACCAGCTTCCCCGAAGAAATTATTCTTTTCCAAGAATACATAAATGAACCAGAATCTGATGTGCTAAGAACCTGAATGTGATGCGCTAAGGGGACCTTTATTATAATGAGAATACTTCAAACCATTGTCTGTTCTCTGGAAATGAAATCTTAAGAACGTTCTGGATCAGTTTATTGAAAAATTAACAGGAAAAAATATTTCAGTAACTAGGTACACATGTAGGCCTCTATGTGACTATACATGTACAGACTTGTACCGGTATTTTGATTTTGGTATTGCTTTGCTTCACACTAAATTACTGAATAAAGCTTGTCTGATAAGATGATATTATTTTCTTTGTTACTCCATGAATTACTTCCTTTGTAATACCATATGATAGTAGATTGTACAAGAGCGAGGAGAATTTCGAGCGGGGGGGGGGGGAAGTCGAGGGACCCAAGGAAGCTCAACTCCTAGGGGCCCTGCCATGGGATAATGCGGTACTCTCTCTCTCTCTCTATATATATATATATATAGGTATGTGTACTATAGAGAGAGATACAAGTCTCCCCCCTTACTAACAGGAGAGAGACACAGAAGCAGAGATGAATAGATAGACAGATTTATAATGCGTCAATGCTGTTGTCCGTGTGTGTATGTCTGTGACTTTTATGTGTGCACATATGCGTATATTATGTACGAGGCAATTAACATCCCCCCCCTAAACGCCGCCCCTTTCAACAAGTATCAAATTTCGCGGCGATTTCATGTTTTGGTTCGCTTGTTAGTATCGGTGAATGCCGGAGTTAGCGCTTTTGAATACTTGCGAATATTAAATATATTCCTTTTAATAAGGAAGGCCGAGTGCACGTTACCAACCATTACAGAAAATAGGATTATTTTACATTGGCAATATACGTTCATGATGAATATTTTTCTCCGATTACATACCGCTGCACATAAAAAAAAATCTACATTGATTCTTTATGCTAAATATTCAAAGAAAAAGTTATCCGAGGGTGGTTGTTTAAGTTAACTCAGCGAAGAATGAAAGGAAGTAACGAGCAGGAAAGGTAATTGTTATGGAGTAAGGACGAACACATACACCAAGACATATCGGTACCATTTTCTCATTAATTCATGAATTAGATATTTACCTGGAAACTTTCCTTACAGTATCTTTTATTACTTACCTTGCTATCACTTTTATCTTCATTGCTTTATCGTCATTATCCCTGTCACCATGATTAACACATTCATAGATATCCTTACCTAAAATGGCCATCATAATCAGCATAATTACCATCGTAATTCTCTTTATCACAGCAGTTACCTTTAATATTACAATGCATTACAAACCGCATTTCACTGTTTATCATCCCATTGTAGTTCTTATACTGATCATCACAATTACCAATAATTGACATCATTAGAAGCCTTTTCGTGTCAACATTTTCGTCATCGTCACTACCATCATTAAAATCTTTGTTCTCTTTATTGTTACTACCAATATTATTACCGTTATATTATTATTAATAATAATTACTAATATTGCCAATATTATTAATATTATTAATCTTGTCAATGTTGTTAATATTATTAATCTTGTCAATATTTTTAATATTATTAATCTTGTCAATATCATTATTATTATTATTATTATTATTGTTGTTTTTGTTATTATTATCATGATCGTTATTGTTATTATCATGATCGTTATTATTATTATTGTCATTATTATTATTATTATTATTATTACCACCATACGCATTAATATTTCGCATTCATCATAAGTAATCATACCCTCATCTATATCCTTAAGGTGATCATAATCATCATCTTCATGATTACAACTAACACCATTATCTTTATGATTTTTCTCATCTTCAGTTTTGTCATCATTATCATCATAATCACTATTATAATAATGATTATCATTATAATGATTAACATGCTAATTATTTTCTTGATCATCAAATTTATCATTACCGCCGTTATTTGTCTTTTGAGCCAATAAAGTTACACGCTCGTAGTTGATTTCAGCCGAGCGTAGAGAGTGCCGATTCCCGTGGTGCCCCACATGAACCTCTTGCAAGCATCGGTGGCGAGGCAATCGAGCCGATAGCAGTTTGCAACTCAGCCTCACCCTTTTCCCCTTCCCCTCTCCCCCTGTCCCTTGCCCCTTTCCTTCTCCCCTGCTCCCCACTTTCCCTCCCATCGTGTCCCTTGCCCCGTCCCCTCTCCAATTGTCCGTTGCCCTTTCCCCTCTCCCCCTGTCCCTTGACCCTCCCCCCCTTTTCCCTTGCCCTTTCCCCTCTCCCCCTGTCCCTTGACCCTCCCCCCCTTTTCCCTTGCCCTTTCCCCTCTCCCCCTTTCCCTTGCCCTTTCCCCTCCCCCCCTTTTCCCTTGCCCTTTCCCTTCTCCCCCTGTCCCTTGACCCTCCCCCCCTTTTCCCTTGCCCTTTCCCCTCTCCCCCTTTCCCTTGCCCCTTCCCCTCTCCCCCTGTCCCTTGTCCTTCCTCTCTCCCTTTACCCTTTCTTCTATCCTCTTTCTCCCTTCCCTCTGTCCCTTTACCTTTT